AAAACATGTCTTTTTGTCAGATCGATTTGGATCAAGCCAACACCCCGTTCGACAAGTTCAATAATATCTAAGTCATGTTTATTCGCCACGAAGTCCCACTTGAGAACCGGGGGCCGGCCAATGACAGTGTAAGGGACCAGCGAGGCTGCTTTCGGGCACTTCCACAGCCAGGTTGATGGCTGAAGCATTGGCGGCCAGCGAGGCTGCCTTGGTTTCGCCTTGGGTCGTGGCACCCCGGCAGGAAACCTGACATGTTGTTGGTATGTTTGAGGGAAACTTGGCGAAGAAGGAGGATTGTACTCCTATCTTCAGATGCCCGAAGGAAAGCAAGCAGCCAGCATTTCGGACTTTCATGAGTCACTCACTGACGAGGGTGATCGCGTGGCCATTCAAGTCCTGAGCTTCCGAGAGTTTGGTTCAGGTTTGCTAACAACGGCCACAAGATGATGATTAACAAGAACGCTATTTAAGGGCTGACGCCCGACAGCCGGCCAGGAGCCCATGACTGGTGGTTGTTGTTGTTGTTGTTGTGGTTCCGGTCGTGGTTGAGGGGCCCACCACGTGATGCAGGTTATGCCTGCCGGTGCGGCCGCATTTCTAGCATTATGATCAAGTGTTGTGCCTATGTTTGGAGTTATGTTTTGTGTAGTTTGGACCATTTATGTTGACAGACGCATCAGATGCGTTTTTTTTCGCTCCGGACCCCCTCTCCGAGGCCGAAACCATGTAAAAGCCACAGTTTTTTGACGTGGCCAGGATCGACTCTGGCCCCATCCAAGCGCACGAAACACTGCAAAACGCGATGTGTTTGAACGTCGCGCGCAAAAAACACTGCAAAGCACAGGGGGCGAGGTCTAACCCAGTGGGTCGGCGGGGGTGGAGCCACTCTCTCCTTTGAAGAGGAGAGAACCCTTCGGGAGGACATGGCCAGGTGCGCCCCTGGGTGGGCTACATCGCTACATCGCTACTAGGAGCAAGGACGCTACTAGGGGCTCCTGGCATCTCTAGGAGCAAGAACGCTATTAGGGGCACCAGATCACAAGCTGACAACGGCCAGGCACGAACACCCTCCCGAAACGATCTGGAAGCGGCAGAGGAGGCAGACTTGCAGGTGCCAGTGCTGGCAGACTTCAAATCGATTCGACAAGAAGGCCTAACTACCCCTTACTACTGCAAAGATATGTTTTATGTTTTTTCGTCCTTTTCGTCTATTTTCCCCTAAGGTATTTGACTCAACTACCCCTCCCTGCTCGAAAGCCAGTTACTGTAGTTGGAAACCTGTTGGTTGTTCCAGGTTGGTGTCTAGGGCACTGAGTTTTTCTTCCGGAATGTCAGATTGTGGCACATGTGTGGCTCCATGTCCGTTTCTATATGACAGCTTGAGTCAGCAGAGGGGGTTGGTTTACTTCTTTCAAACAGGGGGTTTTGAAGGTTCCCCAAAACTCAAAGACTTTGTCACAGGCGGCCCTGTTACTGTCCCAAAGAATGGTGCCGCAGCTCCTGATTGAGTCCAGTGACGAAGAGGCGCGCAGACGGAGTTCTTGCCAGGTTGTTTTGGTTGGGCTGTGCAATCACATTCTCTACGACATTGGGACAGAAGGTGCTGTGGAACTTTTCATCATTGTGGAATGGTGTTGCCGCTAGCATCCTAAGGATCTTCTACATGTGTGTCAAAGGCGTAAGTTCTCTTGTCTAGTGTTTACCTGACAGCCGGGCACCGCCCAACCTGAAGGAAGAGGAAGAAATATATTTCTCTCTTTCTCTCGCTCTTTCTTTCTTTCTTTATTTCTTTCGCTTTGCCTTTCTCTTTGTCTTTCTCTTTCCTAGTGCTTTTCCCTTTCGCTTTCTCTTTCCCTTTCTTTTTCTCGTTTCCTTTCACTTTTCTTATCGCTTTCTTTTTCCCTCGGTTTCTCTTCCTCTTGCTCTGTCTCTGTCTCCATCTTCGTTTTTCTCTGGCCCGCGGCTATGTTGGGCCAATGTCGGTGCCTATGCTGTGCTAGGCCTATGTTAAGCCCAGGAGCAGGCAGCATACACATAAAATGCTAATAATGCCAGGCACCTCCTGCAGCATAAGTTGCGCAACTGTCCTTTGAAATCAACAAAAATAAGAAATCGAAGACTCTGCATAGACACTCGGTGGGGGCACGCCCCTCCTAATCGGGCCAGCACGCCCTAGCACCGCCGGAGGCGGTCCCTCCGATTAGCCGCCGACCAACTGCGGGGATGCACTGAAAACTTGTAGGGGAGTGGGGAGAGCGTGGACGGATGGCTGCGAGATCGTTGTCAAATGCACGCGGTGCGAGTTATGCTGCGCGAGGCGCCTTGCATTATTAGTAGTTTGAACTTTTGCAAGCTCTTCTTCTCTTCTTATTCCAGAGAAGGAGAAAGAAAAAGATAAGGGAAAAAGGAAAAAGGGTGGAGGAAGAGAAAGATACAAAGAAAGAGCGCGAGAAATAGAAAAAGGAAGACAAACAAAAAGAGATGCAGAGGGGGGCTGTTTCGGACACCCGACCGAGTCCTGCTATGCCGCCTGCGCCCTGCAAGGCCTGCGCCTGACGCCTGCACCTGCCCCGGCCCGCTCTTAGGTGAAAAAAACCGCTGGGACGCTCTATCGGAGGCAATGGAAACTCGCAGGCCACTAAGGAGAGCGTGGACAGAGGGATTTCTGTAGAAGCGGCGCAAGATGGATGAACATAGCGCCAACATAGCCCCAAGATAGCTCAAAGATTGATATGTTGATGGCAGCGCGGTTGCTTTCAGTTGGCCGTGGTGCGAGATATGCTGCTCAAGTGGCTGTGCACTATTCGCATTTTGTGATTTTTGCTTGCTCTTCCAGAGAAGGAAAAAGAAAGAGTCAAAAACAAGAAATGGAAAGACGATGCACCTGGACGGAGTTGCAGGAACTAACACGACAGCAGCAGCAGCAGCAACAACAACAACAACACCCACGACGACTACGACAACGACAACAACGTGAAGGACTGCCTTGATCAGAGCTTAAACCCCCCTGCGCCTGCCCATGCCCTGCCTGCGACTTGCCTGCCCGGCCCTCGCTCAGGCGTAAGCCTTGAAATGGGGCCAGCGGGTCCGGCCCTGGCAACAACGCCTGACCCTGCCAACAAACGCGGCTGCCCGCAGGGCAAGGAGCGTGCCCCCCCCCTGACTGACCTACATGATCGCGGGCACCCCCGCTATCCTCCAGGGCCACAGGGGAAAAGGGTTGGAGGCCTTTGCGAACGCCAGTGGAAGGGCTGCTCTTGGAGACAAAAGTATAGGCACCGACAAAACATCGAAAAATGTGTTTTTGGGCATGTTTTTGCAAAACGTGTTGTTTCAACATCTTCTCATTTTTTAACATGCTCGTCTGGGTGTCCTTTTCGCGGCGGGGGGGTCCATGAGGGGTTCCGTGCAGGGCCCCACCTCACAATGGCCCACGCTCGAATCCAAGGGCATATCAACGCCCTTCCTGGGAAAAACATCCCGGTCAGCAGCGATTGAAATTTTTCACACAATCCTTAACTGCTTGGCAGATTTTTGACAATGTGACAGGCGGCTGACATCGCCCAGCCCCACCGGAGTCTGTCTCAGGAACACGCTGTCTTCGCTCCACTCACGCTCACGTTCATCGCCCTAGACCGGGTCGGCGGATTTGATTTCGATCATTGGCATTCGTCTTGTGTTGAACTCGTAGATGTCTCTTTGTAAGCGAGGGCTTCGAGTTTTGGTTGTCATGTAGACTGAGAAATGAGAAGGGCCTAATGTTGCAGCTCTGCGGAAGTCAACTTCAAGGCCATGTCAAGGAACCTTTCAAGTTTTCGAGGAGTCCAGTCACCTCTACAGACCAACTACTTGGTGGAAGGATTCGTTGTGACTCTGTTATCTTCCTTAGATATGTACTCTCTGGTTTCTCTGAAGTCAGAAGAAAGAAGTGCACTTCTCCACGACGTGTGAAGAGTGGAGGTATTGAGGGTGAAGTTCTGTTGCTAGCAGCTAGCTGCTAGCATGTCCAGCGAGTTGCGTGAGGCAGGAGATGCGCAATGTCCGAAACGGCACAAGGCCAGCGGGGTTTTTGCCACCAATGATAGCCATCTGATATGCAATGCAAGTTGTGGTGAAGTTTGTGAAGGAAATGTTGACGGAATTGTCCGCGTTTGTGTAGCGTGAGAACTTGCATTCATTTCAACACAATCCCATTGTTGTTTGGAATTATATATATATATTTCAATGGTAAAATAGTTCAGTTCACTTTCGTTTGCCAAGGCTGGTAGCCATACAGCAAGCACACAGTAAAGACGGGTGTCCAACCCGAATAATTAAATTTTTCGCAGGAACTGTCTTTTGAGGGGTCACGTAACGCATGTGCAGAATTCTGCAAAAACCTGAAACGAACGGACTCTTCCAGATGAAACGTCGGAGACGTTCGAAGGGTAATGTATGAATGGTCAATGGGGCACATTTGGACATTGATCATTTCAGTGCTTCCCATGAGTGTGTGGAATCTGACAGTAGAAGACTTTGACCGTGACACCCCTGTAGTCTAGGCCAGCAAAATCCATGAAAGTGTTCGCTACTCCGGTCGGCCATCTGTGTGGTGCAGGCCGCAGCTTGAGGTAGCCCCGGCAGCCTGTGCCGAGTCGGAAATTTTCCATGTTTCCTGCAGAGGCCAAAACGGACAAGTTTGAGCGATGCATGAGCTATGCAGCTACTCCCCACGTGAACACTTTGCTCCGTGCAGCCATTCTGGACATAATCATGCATTTCCGTGAATGTTTGCTTGCGAAGACCTATATAGCCACACCTGTGAAGTCATCAAAGGTAGGTGTTTATTTCGAGCTAGTTTTTAGAAGCACGCGAAGGAGAAACCACAATGAAGATACACGTAGCAAACAAGTATAGACAAGACTTGACATGAACAAAAGTTGAAAGAATAGAACAGGAAAGGCAATAGTCCCCTTCCACCCAGAAGAAACCGGAATTTGTGATCACACTGTTTACTAACCATGGTGCCGATGGTTGGCGCGACCCTCATTCCAAACTGTGATATATGTGGCCAATTTGCTGAGATTTGCTTAGGAATCCAGGTGGGCGGGAAGCAAAAGGATGTTCTTTTTGCTGCCACAGCTTGAAAAGTTTTGATTTGCTTTGCGACATTCCTTCAGGTTTGGCCTATTGGCCACTACTGTTATGGCTGCCACTGCTTGCTGTACAGTATGCTGCCGTGAGGGGCTCGTGAAACTCCAGAGAGTGTTTGCAATGTGCATCAAAAAACGGGGGTTGGGTTGGGCCGGGTGTTTCTTCGACCAAGCGAAGGGTTCAGATCTGAGCCCTCTGGCAACCTACTAACTTCTAGCGAGGCGCCTCCTATGATTACCTACAGTAGTTCCTTTTTTGGGAGGCGCCTCCTACCGCTCTTCATCGCTTAACCCTGAGCAACAGAAAAAGAGTAAGCGTTCATTGCATAATGCTTCATGACGTGCTCAGGTGATGTTTCTGGGCACAGGCATGCAGGCAGGGCTGAAGTGTCAGACACTTGCCTCAGCGCAACATGTAGACGTTCCGCTCAGTCTGCCGTGCATTCCATCACCGGCATTTTTGTCGATACGCCTGTATGTGGCCAGGTGCTAAGAAATGTTTGCTTCTCGTTTCACTTGTTTTCTCTCAGAGTGGGGTGGTTGCAAAGCAGTTATGTCTACATTGTAATGGCCAGGTTGTTGTTTTGCTGCACTTTCAGAGACACCTAATATTTTTGATACATGCATGGCTGAATGAGCTGTATTACTGTAAGGCGCTGTTGTAGTCCATGCAATTCCCTTGAGACACTTGATGAATGTTGTTTTTGCATTTTCTGACAATTGAGGGCTCATGAAGATCGTTTGGTGCGTCATGCTAGTTTTGTGCCAGAGACTTAGAAGTCCCTTTTTGAGATCTTTCCTGACGTAAATTTGAGGGTTCCAATCAAGTGCATGACGCACTATGTTGTTTCCATTGTCAGATGCAAGATCAATTGCTTTACTTTGTTTTTGTCCTGTCAATGGAGCGAGGCGGAGCTTGCCAGACACTATATTAACAAATTGCTTGACTGTGACACCCAAGCTCAATGATAAATTGGCTGCAATACCTCGCAAGTTGAATGAATTTCTGTGCCAAGGTTTGGATTGTTTGCGGAACGTCTTCAAGCCAGGTGTGGCATTGTGGCGGGTGTGAGAGAGGAAAGAAGAACTGATACATAATATTATATATATATATATTATGCAGCATTCCTCACTGGAAGTCATGCCCTGAAAAGCTAACAAGTGTCACTAGATTGCGGAATGCATGAAGTCATCACAAACTACTTGCCAACGAGGAAGTGAATGTTCGCGAAACGAGACCAATGGTCGAGAGTAAACTCGAACAGAGGGGTCTTCGAGAAATGATCGCATGTTACCGTGTTCTGTTCCCTTGTCAGATGAGATGATGCCGACATATGCTAACTGTGACTGTGTTCATAAACCTTTGTGTCATCCTGTGACTTTGCGTCAGGTGTTACTGGAGGCACAGATGTGCAAACTGCCCAGATGTTCGAGTCCTACGCCGCCAAGGCCTGACGATTCGTGTCACTCGTGTTAGACGTCAGCTGCACGTCAGGGGGTTCAGTTTGCTTCCTTCTGCATGATCTTGTCTCTCGGCTCTCGGTCAGGTACTCCCTGTTGGAAGCACCGTCCATATGTTGTTTACCACAGATGAAAGCATTCTGTTTCCTTCCTGCCAGAAACATCATCTGTGGAGGTTTGGGACGAGCTTTTCGGATTCGGGAAGTTTATAGAAACTTCACGTGCTCCAACATGTGCCCCATGTTGCCCCTATTCAAGACCTGTTCGCGGACACAGTATTTCAATGGCCCTTTGGACAATGCTAACCGTTCGGAGCTCTTAAGGAAGGAGCGCTGGTCCTGGCGGTGAATTTAGCATCTATGGCGGTGCAGCTGCCCTGTGGTTTAGCATAAGGAAGTCAAAAGTTTGATGTCATTACCACAGGGCAAACAGATGCAAACGTTGAACAGTACCTAATGATACCTATATCATGGATTATTCTCAGGATATTGGATCCATGTGGATCCAACAGATATAGATCTTAGATGATCTTAGACGTGCATGGTTGCAAGGCTCTCTCGATAATATTCTATAGATCAATTGTTTACTTGCGTTAGTCAATGGATGAAGACAAATGGTAAAGCATGTGCCAATGTGCGTTGCTTTATTTGTCAAACATGATTTACATGGGGGAGGGGAGGATGATCACATCAGAGTCATGGCGGGCCATGTTGGTTGATTGCCAACAGATCCGCATTTGTTTATGCCATCATAACGGCCCTCAAGCGCCCAGAGCAAAGAACAGGTAGCAAGCATTCCTTGGTGCGTGAATCAAGCAAGTTGCAAAGCTTGGGCAAGAACTTCTAGAAGATTGCCGAGCTGGCTAATGTCTGCTGAACAGAAGGGTTCTTAAGTCAGCGCGTTGCTTCTCAATATGTGCCAGTTACAATGTTTATACATGCTCCACTGTCATTGTCCCCGAAGATATCAGGGGTCTATGATGCCAGGCAATTCAAGCACTGCATGTGATGATCGGGCTTGGGTCCCAGTACCAATGCCAGTACCGGCACAGCCGTTTGGAGCATTCCAAGTTTGGGACATGAAGATTTTGAGAAAGAACCAAAAGCAAGGACCAGAAGCAGCAAACCATAGCACTGCTTGAACAAAGAGCACTGGCTACTAGGGGCTCCTGGCCTTACTACTAGGAACAAGAAGCTACTAGTAGCAAAGGGCATCGCTACTAGGAGCAAGGACGCTAATAAGGGCATCCCCATACCTGGCCACTCAAGGAGCTCTTTAAGGTGACCATGATGTGCTAGCCTGAAAGTTGGGCACTAGCCGCATCTTCCCTACCACACCACAAGAGCAACAATCGGTAACAATCGCTGTTCCTCCACCCTTTGTTACCTTCTTAATGCAAGTGCGCTCCGCATTGCGGCGCTGTGTGTGTGTGTCCCACCCTGTACCCAAGGGACCCATTCGATACCGATTTGATTCATGCAGGGGAGTGGAGCAGGCCTGCAGAGCTCCACTTAACAAAGCTCTCTGCAGTGTCCTGAAAATATCACTGGAGACGTCCAGTGCCGTACCTGCACCATGACAATACACTACTTTTCCTGCGCTGTTCTTTGCTTCCATGGCGGTTCATGTTCCTCCCCCCAAACCTTTACACCACCTTTGAGAGCAGCCGCGCTACGCAGTTTTGCAGCCGCGTTGAAACTTTGTTCGAACACCTTCACGTGCACGGACCTTTCACCTTACCGTTCCATCGAGTCAAGTGCATTGCCTCACTGAATACCACTCGGATGACTATCGAGGTGTGTGTGGGTACCTAATTGCAATGGCCTCCAAATAAACCTAGAAGCGATGGCCTCCAACCTAGAAGCGATGGCCTCCAACCCAATAGCGAACTATATTACTAAATATTGCTGAGACTCTTGGCGGGGGAGGAGGCCTGTTAGACCAGAGCAGCTAATATGTTTGCACAATGGAATATGTTGCAAAAGGTCCAGCAGGCTTATCAATGGATAGTTTGGAACAATGGGGAACCGTTTCCCTTTCATCATATTTCATCTCTCGAATGATTTCCAAGGCGGTGTGCCAAGCTCGAAGTGGACAGGGATACCATGAAACGACAGGCAAGGGGCTTTGGAGGGTTGGAGAATGTGATATCCCTCCAATTTGACTGCCCCATCCATCAAATGTCAACCTAGAATCCCTGCCCACTTGAGGCCCAAGCAGCAGGTGAGCCAGTTTCTCAGATTGCTTTCTCGAGCAGTGCATCATGTGTTTGAAAGGTAGAACAGGGTATTTGGGAATTCGATGTCCAAAATCTGGCAAATCATCGGATCGAGAAATCCTGCTCCCGGAGTCTAGGTTCTCGAAGCAGCTCATGGCGGAGTCGAAGGAAGGAAAGGCGTCCTGTGCTCAGAAGCTAGCTACACTCCAGTGGCCTGTTCGGTCAAAATCCTCATGATCATACTCGGTACGAAATCGAAAGACCTTCACTGTAATGTTTGCAGGAAGAACTAACTATAAACTGAAGATGGGTGTGCTATTGGGTAGTCAAGAAATTTGAACCGTAAAGATGCTAGCAATGTGCTGCAAAGAACCAAACACACAATCAATCACCCAAAATACAGCATCGAGAAAGACATTATTCTGAAAGCTTAATTATACATAATACTTAATTGGAGTCATGTCGTGCTCGCTTTTCTGTGAGTTAGAACGTCTCACTCCCTATACACGGTCCCTTGTTTGTAACCAGCTGGGTCACTCAGATTGTTTGGTTGCTTGGACAAGTCAGACACCATTAGTTTAGGCCAGAGACAAAGATGCCAGAGGAGACAAAGGAGAAGGAGGTGGACTGCAATGTGGTGGTTGTGCATGCCGCAAGAATTGGGACAATTGGGACGCTTCACAACAATGTCATGTCCTTTTGGCCTCTGAGAATTTTAGGATATTTTAGGCATCCTGATTGCAAGGTATCAAGTTGGCATGGACCTGTTTGAAATCATGTAGCTACCAGCTACCATCGTTCAAGGGTGTTTCAATTCAACTTGGAACTATGAAACACCTGCAACATCCTGCAACCCTAAGATGGCATCGTTCCAACATTTGCAGGACGAGCTTCGCAAGCGAAATTGATCATTCACACTGGTGATTTGGTCTCAGCCGCACCATCTTCACAGATGTTGATCTTTGCATTGGCAGTCCCGTTGGAGAGCACAAGACGATCCAAACAATCAGGGCCAGATTGGGGAGAATCCGTTTCCAAGTCCAAGAATCCGTAACCCCCAAGCCAGATAAGTTGCCCTGATAGATCTAAAGTCAGATTGCAATCCGCATGGTACTCCTTCTCCCTGGCTCCGATTTTGAACCGTTTCAAGGTGTGATCGATTCGGATGGAAAGGGTGCTCAAGCAAGAAGTGCAATGATCCAATCGCTGTGGAATTCTCCAACTGCGTGGAATTGCGAATTGCGTGGTCTTTGCACGATGAAGTGGCTGGATCATTGTCACCTTCATAAGATCTCACTTTTGGCCAACAAATTCCCATACACAAGAGAGCAACTGAGAAGAGTTGCAAGGCTTTGCAGTTTGACAAATTGATGGATTTGAGAGATTGGACTGGGAGCTTAGTGACTCATCCACCTGATCCTTGTGGCTCAGTGGCTCCGGCCAACCGCAGAACGAAGTTCGAGGCGAGAGTTGAGCCGTGGCACAAACTTGCTGCAGTTTGCATCCCTAGTAGACTGAAAGGAGACCTCAGCAATGCAGGGTTGGCGTGCGCTCACGCTAGGCAGCACGCCTCCATGCGCTGAACGGCGACAGGTGCAATCCCTGTGTTTGGGTTTCGTTCTCAAAATCCTGACTGGCAAGATGTGAGATGTGGAGCTTCACAGATGATTGTTTGTGGGATTACTCTTATTTTGATATTGCTTGCAATGCCAGATATTTGCACGACTAGCACCAGCACATGGAATAATAGTATTACGTAGTTTGAAAATGCATTGCAGCCGCCCTGGCGGGGGCACTTTTTCACCCGCAGACGCATCCGCCTAACGAAGACGGATTCGCCGCAGCTGTGTATGTTTGATGAACCCCGAAGACACCTAGCGAAGACGGATTCCCCGAAGACGCCCCCAACTCCGAAGACAGATTCCCCCCCGAAGACGCCTAGCGAAGACGGATTCCCCGAAGACGCCCCCAACTCCGAAGACGGATTTACCCCCAAAGACGCCTAGCGAAGACGGATTCCCCGAAGACGCCCCCAACTCCGAAGACGGATTCCCCTCCGAAGACGCCTAGCGAAGACGGATTCCCCGAAGACGCCCCCAACTCCGAAGACGGATTCCCCCCCGAAGACGCCTAGCGAAGACGGATTCCCCGAAGACGCCCCCAGCTCCGAAGACGGCCCGAAGATGACAGATTCCCTGAAGACATGTCCTGCGCGACCTTGCGCATACAGTGGATTCTATGTATCCACTTGGCAGATTGCTTCGCGCGCCCAAACACAGCAGCGCATCAGCTGTCCTGCCCTGCTCAACGCCAGTGAAGTAGCTGTGGTTTTTGTCCGCTTTGTGGGGTTGCACCAGGTTCCTTACAATCCAGAGAAGGAACAGTTGTCTTTTTTGGGGGGTGTGTTTTGCTTCTCGCTCTGCAGTTCCATCAAGTCGGCTTGCAAGCTTGCCTGCATGTGAACAAGTTGGTATGAAGAATCACCTGGGAGCGTTGGTGTGAAAGGCGGCGTGTATGCACATGTTTTTTTTATGCACCACATTTTCTTTTCATGTTAATTGTTTGACGTTATGCAGTACATGGTGATTTGCATAACTCCTTTTTGTTCGCGCTTTCGGTCCAATGATGGTGCGGCGCAACCGTGTGCTGCTGCCGGCGGCGTTTGTGTGTTGGCCGCGGCCTCAGGAACGGAATGTTCATGATTTCGCCGGATTTGGTGGTGCTTGGGGTTTATAGGTTTTGAAATGAAAGTGTATGATGTTACACGGGTGTTTGGACTTGCGATGATCCCCTGCTTTTATTACTTTGGGGTTTCCGCAACAACTGAAGAATGCAAATTCTCCGCGCCCCTCATACATGGAAACATTTTTTCACAAAAACAACGGTCAATTATGCAGCCAATGCCTCGTTGTAACCGAGCACAAGGCAAATGTCACGCGCCCCTCGTTTGTGCCAGGTGTTGGTGCCACGTAAGCCACGCAAACAAAAAGTGCTGACACGAAATCTAAACATTGTTGATGCCCATAACTTACTTGGCCGGCGGTTGCCCTAAGTGGACTTATAACCTAGGTTATACATATACCTAACCTAGTTATAACCAACGTTATAAGTCTGCTAACCTCTATAGAAATTAGGTTTTACTTAGCTTGGACTTGGCTCAGCCTATAAGAGTTAGTAAGTAGTTAGGTTTGACTTAGCTAAGTCAAAGTTAAGTGGGCTAAGACTTGGCTTGGACTTAGATTCGACTTAGCTCAGACTTATAAGTCCAAGCTAAGTCAAAGCTAAGTCGAGGTTCAAAAATTGAAGCAAAATCAACCCAAAATGCGTCGAACGCAGCCACCAACCGACAACCAGCCAGCATACGGCCGCGCCGTTATTCTTTGTTACATTCCGCGTCGTGGCCGCTTGTTGATTCTTCTACGGTATCCTATAGAGTACTTGGCGCAAATAGGGTGCGTCAAGCAGAGTCACATGAGATAAAGTTTTGACATTGTCTTCATCCTGAAGTCTTTGAATCATTCACCCCAAAGACTTAAACATTATCGCAATTCTATTTAGACAAGTTTTAGAACTTGTCTTCATCTTCAATATTTTTGACAAACGTCAGAAAATATTCTGACATATATCAAAAACTGACAAATGTCAGAAACATATTCTCACAATTGTAATCTGACAAATGTCAGAAAATATTCAGACAATTGTCAGAAGATTCTGACAAAATCTGACAGTATATCCTTTTAAACGTAAATGTAAACAACACTTTGTCAGAACATTATGACAATATTGCCTTTTAAAACTAAATCTAAGCTAAAATTTGTCAGAAAATTCTGACACATGTCAGAAAATGTTTGTGTAAATAGTAAATATTTCTGACATTTGTCAGAAAAATGTTCTGGCCAATGTCATAAAATTCTTACAGATGTCAGAAAAAGTCTGACATTATTATATTGTTGAAAAGGTACATGTCAACAACAATTTGTCAGAAGACTTCTGACAATATATAAGTTTAGTTAAACTGTGATACACTAACTATGATAGTATTAACAGTGTAATTAACCAAAAACTATATTTTTCAAATTATTAAAAATAGTTTCAAAGATGTGATGCCTGTTGATGCTGGCTGTTGATGCTCAGGTGATGACTCTTGATGCTCGCGTGAGAGAAGTCTACCAGCGCACTCCCAGACCGAGCTTTCGGTTTTCATTTTTCATTGTTACTTTTCAATAATTGCCTTAGACTTATCTTTGACTTAGCTCAAACTGATCAAGCAAACTAACACTTAGCTTCGACCTCGCTCGGACTTCTAAGTCTTAGCTGAGACCAAGCTAAGTCCAGGCTAAGTCCAACCTAAGTCCAAGCTAAGTTACCCTGAGCTAAGCCCAAGCTAAGTACTTACTAAGTACTTATAAGTCCAAGTTAGACTTAGCTAAACTTAGCAAAGTCCCGCCGGCCAAGTATACCTTTGTGGCAGGTGTTTTATGCTGTGTGGGTCCTTGGCTTTATAATTTATAGTTGAACCATTTGCGGCTTGGCAATTTGCGAACCAGACAAACCCGGGGGAGGCTGGCTGTGCTCCCACTTGTGCTCCCTTGGTCCTTCATTGGTTCGCCAACATCTCCACGTGTCCGTGACCTTGGCCGCAATGGTCAAGGAGCGCCTGGAAAAGGTCTAAACGCCAAACGACCTGTCCATGTCTTTTGAAGGTCTTGAACCAAAGATTTGGTTTCATTTGTCCATCCATACATTGGCGTCTGTTCATCCTTCAAGTGGCTGTGCAGCTCAATTAATTTGTTTTCTGAGGTGACAATATCCTCAATGGGTATTAAGTTTATCACTAGAAACTGGCCATTTCAGAGTGAACACCTTCAGCGTGAAGTCATGAAGCGGGTGCTGGTGCAGGAACCGAAAATGCCCCTCATCTCTTGCGCGCCCGAGGGGGCAACATACTGGGGAGGTAAGATGTAAAAGTGTAAAGGAGATAAAAGGAATACGAATGAGTACTGTGCCAATGAAACTAGAATATGAAGGCAGTTTTTTCTGGTCAACCCCCATTAAATTGAAAACATTTGAAAGCTAGTATTCTGAAACCCAACATGATGAAGAATGAAGATACACATGTGTAATCAAGTAGATTCACAGTGATTGGCAATTGCATCATCAAGAATAGTCACAGTACTGTAAGCATGCTTTGTTTCGGGCGGTAAGGTGGCAACGATCCCTGGCGAAGGGCAAACAACCATTGCTTACCCCAGTTGATTCATAGAAATCTACCGATTTCCACTGGACGCGGAGATGTTGCAATGTTCTGCAGATCTGCTCTCGGCCGTTTCAGTGCTAAGGAGTCGACGAAATCTTTTTTTGGCGATCACTGTAAAAGAGAAATTTGTTGAAGGTAGAGGCTTACAACTTACAACTGTGTTCCTGCTCCTGACAGAAAAGCTAAAACCGAAACGCATTCATATGATCGTGGAATTCCTCGGAATTCATGGCTTCACGGTCCAAACGAAACATTTGACTGACTGTTCCTCCATAGCCATAGCCCAGACATATCCAGGCATGCTTTGTTGAGCTTGAAGCCACCAAGACGCAGCCAGAGCAAGCTGCTTTATCTGTCCGAACTTGACGCAACGTGAAGCGGAGGTAAAATCATTTGGCCGTGGAACCAGAGCGGCCAGTCATGGTGCTCAAGTCAGACTAGCAAGAACAAATCTTGGTTGTGAACAGAAGCTAATCTTGTGAAGCAATGAAAATCAAATAAAATCTTGGCAAATTTTAACGACGTCACCGACGTCACCCTGAATTAACGACCTAGGTTTGAAATTAAGATCTTGCCCCTTCATTTTAAGTAAGATCGTCCCACTAGCAAGCTAAGCCTCTTTTGGCAGCCTGTTGCTTCAACGGAAAGCCCTCACACACAAATCTAAAGGTTGATGTTTGTTAGAGCATACCCCTCTTCATTTAAGCGACCACCGTTTTCTCGCCGCGCGCGCAAGACACACAAACAAGCACATTGCTGGAAAGACGGGAAGCTTGCCAAGGCTGGGGGTTTGAGCCCGGGCGCTCCGCTTCCGAGGGCGCGTTTCTGACCGCTGGGCCGCTCACGCGGGGGTTCGCGAAGGGCCGAAAGCAAACAAGAATTGGCGACGTTGGGTTTCAGAATGGTTGAGTGGTTCGGGGCCTTCTGGACGCGTTTTCCCGGCTTACCGAGCCCCAGTAAGCAAGGAAACTGCGACGAGCAGCTCAAAAAGGCAGCCCCATCAAAAAACCCAATTTTGGCGAAATGGGGTTTTGCGACGGCTGGTTGGCTCGGGGCCTCCTGGACCCGTTTTCCCGGCTTACCGAGCCCCAGTAAGCAAGGAAATTGCGACGAGCAGTTCAAAGAGGCAGCCCCCATCAAAAAACACCATTTTGGCGAAAGGGGGTTTTGCGACGGCTGGTTGGTTCGGGCCTGCTGGACCCGTTTTCCCCGGCTTACCGAGCCCCAGTATAAGTAAGGAAACTGCGACGAGCAGCTGGAAAAGGTAGGCCTCCTGGACTTGTTTTCCCGGTTTACCGAGCCCGAGCCCCAGTATAGGAAACCGCGACGAGCAGCTGGAAAAGGCAGCCCCCGTCAAAACACCTTCTTTTGGCGAAATAGGGTTCTGCGACGGTTGGTTGGTTCGAGGCCTCCTTGACGCCTATTCCCGCCCCAGTTGAAAGCTCAAATACCGGATTCTGGAACCGCCTCCAAAGCCAAACTCTTGTAGCCCACACGACATGAGCGTAGGGTCAACCGGGTCAACACCCCCAAGCATTGGAGAGATCGAAAAGAGAATACGCAATGCTGTTCCCAGGCATCCAGTCCACTGCCTGCAACTGGATCTCTCCCAGTACAGAAGATTCAAACAGCGGCCTCGCCATGGAGGTGCTCACCGTAACGGTCACCCCAACCAAGCCACGTCCACAACTGGGTGCGTGCGCTGGTTGGGGTGCTAGGTCTTCCCGAGGTCACTTAATTTCATATTTCCAACGACGTCACATAATTTCGTTTCCGATTTAACGAAAATAACCGACGACCCACGATTTTTTTTAATTTGCTCAGATAAAACCCAATAAACAGTTGATCCGAGTCACTGTAAACACGGTGAGAATGACGTCAGGAGAGGCCCGGGGTATTTCGAAGCTATAAAGCACAACACCAACAGATTTCGCGCCTGACGCTGCCGCCAACTTCTAACCCTGGAAACGGCCCCCGGTCGCAAGGGCCTTTTTTCGATTCAAGGATATAATCACGCAACGTCAATGGGGAACGCGGCCTGATGCGGGGAATGTGGCGTCAATAGCCGGCGTCAGGGAGGTATGCGGCGTCAGACAGGAACGCGGCGTGAATGCGACGTCAATAGGCGGCGTCAGGGAGGTATGCGGTGTCAGACAGGAACGCGGCGTCAAGGAATGCGGCGTCAATAGGCGGCGTCAGGGGGGTATGCGACGTCAGACCGGAACGCGGCGTCAGGGAATGCGGCGTCAATAGGCGGCGTCAGGGGGGTATGTGGCGCCAGACCGGAACGCGGCGTCAAGGAATGCGGCGTCAATAGCCGGCGTCAGGGGGGTATGCGCTGTCAGACCAGGAAGCGGCGCGGCGTCGCTAGGCGGCGTCAGGCGGGGAGGCGGCATCAGTGGGGAAAGGAGCGTCAGGGAATGCGGCGCCAACGAGTTCCCAACACCGCGGCAATAAACGGAGGCAGCGTCAGGCGCAAAAGTGCCCCCACATGGGCGGCCGCCCCGTGAAAATGAACTATTGGCAATCCAACAATATTTGATTGGAGGACTCAATACCAGTTTTTGCAGTACAGTATTCTTGATGATTTGTGAGCGCTTAGGCTAAACCCATGAGTCGCTTGAGATCCCCCTGCTCGATTGGTTCCTTCTTGGTTGCACAAAACGGTTTTACTGTCCGAGGACAAACCGATTTCTTGTGGGCCTCTGAATTTGAAAGTCTTCTTGATTGTCTCGCAGAGCCTTTGGATTTTTCCTGCACTGCCTTTGATAGTTTCACAGACCAAAACGTTGTTTGGGCGATTCGCAGGTGCCGTCATGGCGCTCGGGCCCCTGGTGGGTTCGGTCGGTCCCATGCTCAGAGCGAGGGCAAGACAGATGGAGTTGAGGAAAATGATCTAACAGACTTAACATGATTACATAATCTAAATATGTATATTATATAGAATCTACAAATCAAACGGATGTTTCAAAAAGAACACTGAGCAGACGAATGCCAACGGTGTGCTTCAAATCAAGCGGAGTCTCCAGTTCAAATGACCTCGAAAGCATGTCCATTTTGACTCAAGCTGCACAGCCTCATCTTGGCAAGGCAAATTATGGTTTGACATGTTGGAAAACATGTATATAACTCTGTTTTGCAGAAACCTAAGAAAAATTATGGGAATAAACCGGGATTTCAGTATTGGTTGCACTGCCTTTTATATATATATATAGTTATATTTATATACACATACACACAATAGAGAATTCTGAATTCTGTTCCGACTTCTTTTGTGTATGATGAAATCGTTCCCGCAAAGTGCCGCGGACTGGCGTTCAGCTATTGAAGGCAAGGCGCAACGGCTTGAAGCTTTCTTGTCCAGCTTTCCAGATTGGGGTCAGTGTCCAGTTTGCCAAAAGGCTTACCCGGACTCACTGGCGCCACACATTGCGGGCAAAGACCACTGGAAGAAGCTCTGGTGGAAAGCGGAGCAAAAGGATCAAAAGGAGTTGCGGCAGGAATGGCACAACGCCACAGCCACCGTGATCTTCGATCACTTGAGTGGCGAGGTGACCCGCATTGCTGGGGAAGTGACAAGTCCTTTCACACCAGAAACGACACCGCCGCCTTTTTTGCGCACGGATGGTGCTTTAGCGCTTGAAACCCCACCTGTTGATAGCCGCTCCTTTTTGGACGTTCTTAGGAGCTCTGAGAGTCAAGCGCCAGCGCTCGGCTACAAGAGTCCTCGTCCGTGTCAGAGTGAGTTGGATGTGTTGTGGAATCAAGGTCGATTCTTCTGCGATGTGTGTAGCTTGGTGAAGGCAAAGGACTCCTTCCACAAGACCCAGCAGAAATACAGCTTAGCAAGCCGACGATGCATCCAGTGTGTAGATGAAGCCAACACCGAGGCTCAATACATTGTTTGTGACGGCTGCAAACAGAGGCTTCATCGTGATGATTTTTCCAAGAGCCTGCGAAACAGCGATCAACCACTTTGCAAGACATGCAAAGAAGAGAGAGACATCGAGTTGAGCAAGTTGATATGCCAAATTTGTGGCGTTTCTCAACTCCGAGATGCTTTCAGGAAGAAGATTGACTGGGACGCTCCAAAGTGTGCAAATTGCTTAGAATTGAAAGAGAAGCGAGAATACGAGGAATGGCAGCAAGAAAGAGAAGATGAAGCTGCTAGACAAGCAGAATTGCGAGAGGAAATGGCAGAAGAGGAACTGCGAGAGCACTTTCAAATCCGAATCCTGAAGAGGATGCAGGACCTGCAGGTCCCAGCCCTTTTTGATGAGTTGACGTCCGAGATCTTCGAGCAAGACAGGAAGAATTGGGCACAACAGCTCATGCGCAACATCCTGAGTAAGGAGCTGGACGACCAATGGAGGAATGAGACGCCCTCTCGTGACCATGCTTCAGACAAAGACCGAGCGAATGCCTTCAAAGCTTTGGAGGATGCAGGCCGCACAACTTGTCAAAAGTTTACCAATAGACCATCTATGAACAGTATATAGTCACAAATAGTCATTACGTGTATAGACTCAGCAGCAGCGCTGCCTTGTGAGACCACATGGGAACCGTGCTGCGTCGATCAGTTTGACCAGTTCGTCCACACTTGGGTGTGTCCCTTTGTATACCAATATTATATATATATATGTGTAACAGTCGTCAAAGATTATCACTATTTTGGGAAAGGCCTTTAACTTTACTAACCATCATCATCAACTGTCAGTGGCAATGGGGATATACCGAATGTATAATTATAGATGAAAGCCTGGTATGACATTTGCTTGCTTCCATGGGTTTCTACTGTTGTATTGCCTTGAAGTTTTGAGACAATGCTTTGCTTGGCTGAGTCATTACTGTACTGATTTATTGTGTAGTAGACTAAATTGAAGGGGCTTACACCCAACAGCTGGCCAGCAGGGTGTGCAGTGGCAGGCGGCAGGGGCAAACAGGTGACAGGGGTTGTTGTTGTTGTGGTTGTGTGGTTGTGTGGTTGTGTGAATTTGGTTGAAACAGGCGGCCAGTGCAGCCGTTTCGAGTCGGCCGTTGCTGTGGGATTCTTAGCAATAAACACTCGAAGCTGTCAAAACCGCATCCAACCCTCAGCCAGGCAAAGCGCGCGGGCCATTGCTTCGCGAAAAAACACTTCCACCCAAACTAGGCGCGATCGCCGGTCTACGTCCACGGCTTCCATTGTAGGGGGGCGACTCCAACCAACCCCTCCTTGGGTAAGACAGGGGTCCAGGCATGTCCAGGCGCCCGGGCAGCATCCTGCGCAAGACGCAGCAAGCAGCTTGTGCATAGGAGGCTGGCCGCCCTGACAGAGGCAAGTCCCTGTCAAAGGTCGAGAGCACTGGACAAATTGCGGTAGTAGTTTTTCTGTGGTTGTTCTTATGGTTGTGGTTGTCGTTCTCGTGGTTGCGGTTGTTGTTGTGGTGGTGGTGGCGGCGGTTGTTGCTTTTGCTGCCAGAAACAGAAAATGCCAAATACAGTAAGATGTGCTTCGCCACGCCCTTAGCCCATGTTGTCCTGCGCGCAATTTGCAGCCGGAGAGGGTCCCACATGGCAGCTTCGAAGCCCAGTACCAGAAAGGCTTGCAAGCCCACGGCGAGAGGCGTGGAAGGCGGGCTTCGCCACTGACTTAGCCCATGTTGTTCTGCGCTTCGAAGCCCAGACAAAATAAGCAAGCCCGCGGCGAGAGGGGTGGAAGGGATCTCCTGTTTATGCGTACTCAGTAGTTTGATTCTGTTGGCATGTGCGTGTTGGGCACGACCTTGCAGGCGATGAGCTTTTCAAGGACCTATGCTATGACTTTTTCAGGGAGTTCGTGACCAACGAAAGGGTAAAGGTCATGACTTCAAATCAGTTGGCGCAGGAGGTGACCCCTGGCCACCGGTCATGTTTTCTGAAAGGGCGAGTCATTGCATGCATCAAACCTGTACGCCAAGAAGATGAGTTGAGGCTTGAAAAATACCATTTGTTGGATGCGAAGTACCTAGACCCGGGATGGAAACAAGTGTCGTCAGATCACCTCGATGTGCTTGAGTCCCTGGACATGTCCTTGGCAGTGAAAAGTTACCCTCAAGACTTGTGGAAGGACATTGAGGACAATTTGTATGCGGATGACTCCAACTCAGGGTCTCACAACCAAATCCTTTGCAAGCTACTGAGCATCACCGGCGGCATTTCAGAGGGATCAAATAGGACCGAGACCATGAACTACTGTGCTGACCTGCTGGGTTTCGAGTCACCCCAAGATCTGAAATACAAGATTTGGGCAGAGAAATTTGGTTTCGTGCCGTCCGAAGATCGAGTGGCCATCACCTATGGCCAAGGCAAAGAGTTTAAACTGGATAAATTGTGGGGCAAAAAGAAGGAAGCCAATTGTTTGGAGGCACTCATGGGAGCTCTAGATAAGGCCAATTACGAGCCTGAGCGCAGGGCATTGGCCGCATTGGCGGCTTTATGCCACCTTGCCCCTCCCAACCCAAGAACTCTGGTGCCATCAAATTGGTGGATGGCAGAAAAGGTCCTTGACAATGCAGAGAAGAGGGCATCAAATCCGGAGTACTTTGGTGGTGACTTGCTCCAAAGACAACTTCTTCGGAAATACCTTGACAAGAGCCGCTTGCAGTCGCAAATGGAGCAGTGGCTGAGAAAGAAGGCCAACAAGATGCGGTAGAGGAAAATGTTGACAGAAAACATTGTTCAGTGCGCGCACGCGATGACTGATATCGCCCATGGCTGACTGGACTTTGCTGGAGAGTGTTGGCGGTGCTGTTTTTGTTCGACTGAAGGGTTCATGAGAGTTGACCGACCTTGCATGGAAAGGTATCATAGCGGCAGTCGCCCTTCTGCTATCCCGGGAGACAGGCTATCAGAGGCAGCTTACGGGAGAGTCAGAGTTTCTCTTTCTATGTTGGTGGAGTTCTTAATGCACGACGCACGGATTGTGTTGTTATTTTTGTTCGGTCTTTTATCATTTGAGTGAAATACACAGGGGGGCAGGTAACAAAGGCAGGAAGCGGCCCTGTAGCAACTAGTAGCAACAACATGCAGCAGCCCATGTTTAATTCGACTGCTGCGTAGCTTTTATGCCAGGCCTGAGCGCTTCGTCATTGCCGCTTCATTGCACTAGAAAAGAGTAGAGTGTACTGGTTGGAGACAACAAACACGCCAAGAAGCGCAAAGTTGCATATAATATAAAACCATTGAAACAATTGAATCAAACTTTGTGAATGGCTCAGGTGACATCGCCAGGGACTCGAAACGTCCTTTGGGCACCATTGCCCAAATTCCACGATTTGACTTTGAAGGCGCACCAAGTCGCAATGGGTGGTCAGGTTCGTTTATTTTTGTTAGATAATTATTTAATTGTTGCTTCTGTTCTTTTTGGGCCGGGGTAGGCCGCTATAGGAAGAGGAGCAAGCTAGATAGTAGAGTAGATAGTAGCTATTAGGTACTGGACGCTATTAGCTGGACGCAGGATAGCTCACGCTCGCATTAATTTAATGCTTTCGGTTGCAGCTGATTCTTAGATTCACCAGTTGTCCACTATTCACTTTTCGGTGTCGAAAGCTATTCCTGGATGAATTTCAGAAATTGTGGGTTTTCCTTTCCAGCAGTGGATCTCCGGAGAAGCCAAGTTGGAAGCAGAGGCTATTCGTTTTTGTTGTGCGTTATTGGCTGCAGGACCGGCCGATTCCAGATGCTCAGATTCTCATTGATGGAGCTGCAAGCAAGCCAGCTGCTCAGCAGACGGCCACGAGTGCACACGAGCCTTTCACACTTCCCGTCTTCAGTCTTTTCGGAACGACGGGTCGATGCCTGGGGCATCAGTGCAAAACGATGCTGATGCCTGAAATATGGTTTTTGGGTGTGCTAGGGCCGTACAGTACAGCTGCGAGCCAGGTGCTCTGGTTGGGCCTGCATAGAGACCTCCAATCATGGCTTGGAGGAGCCAGCAGGGCTCGCGCAGCTTCCTCGGTGTTGAGAAGGGTTCTTGGGTTTATGGTTGGTAATTGATTCTTCATGCAAAGCATGGAATGGATCAGTTGTTCCAGTTTCACAGACAGTCCATACGGGGACACTCTCAAGTCGCGAAATTTCTTAAAACAAATGCCTCCCTGTTCTCATGGTACGTTGCAACTCCAGCTTTCAGGGAAATGTCGTCGGCATAGATTGAACAAAGACTCCAAGTCTCTGGACACTGATAGATTGTGCTGCCTGTTGTGGCTTTCACACAAGTGTTATCTACTATACCTACTGTTACCACTCCACAGTCACCTTGGGAAACTGTGAAGTAGAGAAGTACATATCCAGGTTCACAGTGTTAATACAGTGTAGCAAGTTGCCCGCCTAGGCAGAGCTCATGAGCACAAAAGCAGGGCCTGGAGGAGGTTGTATTCGTTTGCCCAAAAGAGTGGTGACTTCAGACAGCGTCCATCGTGATTTCTTCACCAATGTCCAAGGCTGTATCAGAAAGCTGGTGGCAAGGCATGGCTCTACGTCTCCGATCCCAAAGACGTTCGGCAAGAAAAGAGAGCAGTGGGACAGTATGGGACAGTATGGGACAGTGGGATGTGTTTGGGAGACCAGCAGCTGGGCACGCAAAGCATGCTAAGGAAGTCTAAGGAACTGAAGAGAACCTGCGTACGGATACTAAAAGTCACTAGCAGCTGATGATGGTTTATCAATGTTGGATTTACTGTATCTTGCTGGTCAAAGCACTGCAAAATGTTTGGACCCTATGTTACTATTATCCCTATGTTCTGATCGCCCTAGCGCCAATCTATGTTTGCCCTGTCAAGATCTTTAAGATCCCTCCATCACTGAGACGAGACCTGAACTGTGAATAATGCAGAGTTCAGAATGAGCTTATTACAAGACTGGTGTTATGCATATAATTCAACGACTTCATTTGCAGGATGTCATAAGGTTGTCAAGGAAAGAGAACGATTGTTCCAACAGTTGTGTTCTTTTGTTCTCAGGTTGGCTTCTTGTACAGGTATGAAGCGCGGGATCTCAGATTGGCTGTGAACTTGGAGTCTTGCTTGGTTCCCGGTCTCAACATCGAACTTCTACGCAATACTTAGAACCACCCATTTGTACCTAATTATGGGTAAATTTAAGCACCCTTGGGACGCTTCAGTCTTGCAATTGTATAATTAGCTTGCTCCTGCTCCTTTTTACCTGGCAACACCACTTGAGTTGTCCAAATGGTTGAACCATCATTCTTCGTTGTGGTGGAGATGGAGATATCACCCTAGTCGTGCTGTTTGACTCGCTTTCCGATGGCGATAATCACGTATGACAGTCTGAACCCAGCCAGGTCACCAGCACCTGGCGTAATACGCTGGAGGCTGGGCCGCAAGAGCTTGTGGCCAGCAACCTCAAGGAGGGCACGGAATGTAAAGATTTCTGGTTTGAGACGGTTTGTGCAACGTAAGAGTTCCCACTCCATAGAACTCATCGAGAAATTCGCCAGGAACAGAGGGCTCTTAGAGTCCACGCTTAGCCCTAGAAAGCGTAAAGGTGCCGTTCCTACCTCCAGGCTCACTCGCTTTTGATCAACTGGTTATATGTGTGGACGGGTCCATCAACCGCTGTTGTGAGCCTTCTTGGCGGAAGGACGCCGCATACTGGCTGGCTGTGGATGGCTTTGGCAACATTTTCTATACCGATGCGGAGGCCACGTCCCCATCTACAAGAGGGGACGGAATTTTCAGGCACTTCGTTCATGGTAGTCTTGGTAGTGATGCCTACAAGTTTGAGACAAGTCGATGTCCAAAGTGAAGGTGAAGGACCTTAAACGTGTTTTGATTGGTCGATCCATGACCTTTGCACCAAGGCGGGCACCGTCTCGATGATCAAAGCAGAGGACTTGAGGGCATGACAGGGGCCAGGGTGGGTTCTTCCCAGGGAATCCGTTCGCAGATGGCCAGAAGGTGTACACAACTGCTTCCATCTCCCTCCAACAAAATGGTAAAGTTTGTATCCCATCTTAAGATCTTCTGAAGTGATCAAGCTTGTAAGTCAGGATTCGTCAAGTATCCCACGGTATAAAGTTACTGGGAGACCATTCCACTGGCAGTTTTTGTGGACGTGGGCAGGAACCCATAGCAGCCGGCTTCCAGTCTTGAAGCGAAGATTGGCCTGCTTATGCAACAACAACTGGGGCTTCGGTTCTAAGCAATTCCATCGATGTGTAGCAGAAGGCAGTGGTGCATTACCTTCGATGCATGATTGGCAAAGCGCAGGATGTCTCCAAGAGCGTTCCGCAGGGCAGGACTCTTCAAACTGTTCTCAAAACTTTCCTACATGCTTCAGCACGAGCGTCATTGTGCATTGACATGGCACATCGCACATACGATTCAAACATGTTTGGTCACTACCTGTGTCTACACTCAAGGCTCGGCTCCTCTGTCTACCTGATGTGTGCAGATATCACAAGCCCAATGTACAAACTCCACCACTTGGCCTTTGTGAATTTATCAGAGTCTGTGCAACATTGTTTAAGCCAGCTGCACCATGCATGACATGACCCTCATTGCATTGAACACCAACCTAGAAGTGGGACTCAAGAAGGTATACTACGGTATATTTGTCACTGCAATTTTCAGCAATCATGGACAGATTATATATCCATAATTTTCTGAAAGTCACAGTGCGAGAGAGTTCAGAGATGTTCAGATCCCTTGCGCCATTCCATGTCACCATGTCAGTGTAGTCCCTCAAGAGCTGCACCATGAGACCAGAAGAACTCAGATTACAGATGACCTTTTCGAATTACCTACTGATCCTGATGATTGTGAGTGCCGCAGGACTGTTCTAAGCTCTGAGAAGATGCTCAGGGTTTGTTTAGTAAGCTTTTCGGTTTGGAGTCCGAACATTTGCACCCCAATGTGACAACACTGATATGAATTGATCCCAACCAAGAATTTGTCAGTCAGTCGTGACCAAACAGTTGATTACTCTAGCATTTGGGCCCACCTGAAGGCACCCCAAGCAGTCCTTGTCCTTGTGGTGTTGCTTATTACTGTACCAAGTCCCAGCAAAATGTTCGAACAAGTAAGGGTGAGACAGCGGCCGGAGCATTCCCCCTCTGACAAAAGCTTTTCTCTTTGGTGCCTCTAAGGATGGAGAAGGTGGCTGGCCCAGCAGGGATTGCCACGGATTCCACCGCCTTGTACTGGGCCAACCTGAAGGCCCAAGACACGGTGGTCGTGGAGACCACATTCTGGTGAAGTCCCCGTGTACCCAACAAACAACTCGGGACAAACCCAGCCATGTCAGACTATAAAGGTGAATTCAGGTTTACATTACTTGCCCAGAATGTTGGTTGGTGATTGCTTCTGACAAACAGGACGGTTCTTAATTGGATTTTTTTCACGAGTCCTCGCAATAGTGCATCACTGTGTGTAGATGTGGGTTTTGCAGGGCTAGGAGCAATGACCTGTCAAAGTCCACAAACACCTTGTGCAGGGGGATAGATCCACTGGCACCTTGGTTCAAGCTCGAGCCTAGCTCTCAGTGTGGACAAGTTCAACATTAGGATGTCGAGCGCCCACCGAATAACATCACCACATTGAGCCATTGAGCTATGGGATGCTATAATTAGGATGCTATGGGCATCTATGGGCTATGATAGCTATATGTCGAATCCATTAGGCAACTGTCGTCTATTGCAGAACTTGATTGTGTGTGTCTCCCATTACATCCAGTCAGTTTGCAGAAAGACCACTCCGTTGGATCAGTTAACCATGTCCAAGTGCTGTTTCAACTTGGTTGTTGTAGAGTATCTACTTTAGGACACCTCAGAATTCCAGAGCCGATGCCACCCCATGCGTGGTCCGATGAATTAAACACTTCCACAGTTCCCATGTCATTGACCGTGACAGTCAGCCCGGACGCTGAAAACTCTCCAGTTCATTGGACCTACTCCAGTGTGCTCCCAGGTTGAAGGCTCAGGAAACCATTCTGCCAGTATTTTGGCGGGGAACCAGGACATGTACCAGGCGCACTCTCTTTGTACCTGGGGACGGGCGATGCGGGCCAAGCCCAAAGCCAAAATAAGCCAAAGATATCAACATGTTACATACCAGTTACCCTGGCTGGTTCCGGACATCGTGTTTCATCGTGTTTTTTCTGGTCTGTTTATAAGGAGTCATTCCGAAGCTATAGGAGAAATCCATTCTGGATGGTGATTGCTTGTTGGAAGAATGTTCAGAAGAGGCCGATAGTGTGCAGAATGCAGGCTGTGTATAACTATATATAGAGAGTGCTTTGCTCTATTTATTTTGCTTTGATCCAAGATGGCCAGATAATACCGGTGTTAAGGTATGATGGTATAAACATACCAATATGACTTGACTGACCATATGACACTTGCACAAGGGAGTCATGACCGATAGTCAAGTCGGAGTGAGCAGTTGGATCTCCTGAATAAAGATAATCATCTCGCAATGGTTTGGTAATTCCTATACTTTTTGCAATAGATTTTGGAACTAGTAGTCTGAGGCTTTCAGGCTAATGCTAATGCTCAAATGCTGCTCCTGGCTCTCAATCGCAAAAACTGGCATGTCAACCACAAATATCAACATTTCTTTACTAGTAGCCAACTACTCAACTAGGGTACGGCATGGTGGGACGCTACGAGGCGACTGAGGGTGGAAAGTCTTTAAGTGTGGGTTCTTTGATCACAGTGGGGAGGACATTAAGAAGTGTGGGGCAGAGAGAAATGAGGCGTCGACTTTGACAATAGTTTTCTGGTGTTTCCCAGCCGCCAATTCCTTGCACGCATTTTCAAGACATGCCTTCGCCAGAGTCTTCGCCAGGTGTTTCAGGAACTCTTGTCACACCGCTCCATGAGATTCACTCACTGAAACTGAAGCCCTTCTCTTTCTTCTGTCTCTTTATTCTCTTTCGCTTTTGCATGAAGCGCTAAATTCAGCGCTCCCAATCACCACATCGATGCACTGTGTGCCTGCAATCTTGCTCAACTTTGGGCGAGGAGCTCGGCGAAGCCTCAACGCATACTGCCGTTGCGTTGCCGCGAAACCCGAGCACATGGGATCTTCAGCTTCTTCGCCAAAGCCCTCCAACTCGAAGCTCCATTTGAGTACTGCAGTGTGCCTGTTAAAGACCATGGCTTTCGGCCAGCTCTTTCGATCTCCCGACTTGGCTCCACTGGTGGCCGAGCTTTGGGAAGGGTCGCACTTGTACAAAAGCTGGAGGTGTGTGTGTGTGTGTCAACCCCTGTGCCTAAGGGCTTGGATTCACCTCATGCAGGGGCGTGTGACACTCTTCTCCTATCACACGCAACGAAGCTGTGGAGAAGAGTGGGAAGGGAAACTTGGCCAGTTTCCTGTACCTGCGACGCAACTGTTGATCAAGCCGTTCCACTTTCTGCTTTTTGTTTCATGGCGTTTCATGATTCTCCCCCTAAACCATTTCCTCCCCAGCAGAGGTGCAGCCGCGCCGCGCTGATCGTTGAGCCGTCTTGCATTAACCTTGTTCAACAATACAATTTGAGCCGACTCTCTCACCTTTCCGTTCCATCGCCACTTTCCTGGAAAATTGAGTTAACTGAAAACCAATGTCCGAGTGTGTTTCGCTCAGCCGTCCCACTCGGGTGCTGAGTGTGATCCCCGTCACTGGGGCGCTGTTTCATTGGGAAATCATGAACGGAACTCACCACCGCTCACCGGAATTTCACTGGAATTCACCTCCACTTCCACTGAATTAACTGCCTCAACGGCCGCCGGGCCAAAACACAGGACTCCATAGCCGCCAGGCTTTAAAACGGTACTCCACCCGCAGTCAGGCAGGTTTCCCAACCCCCCCCCCAGCCGAGTTCTACTCCCCACCTAATTAGGGCAACATAGGGAAATGGTACTCGACACACTTGTGTGTCGGTGCCTTTCCCTGTGTTGTTCCTGTTCTAGTCTTCTCTACCCGGGCGGTCTAAGACTAAAGTCCCGCTCCCTAACTACTGCACTTAATTATTTTCGGCTAAGTAATCAGTAACTCTAGAGTGCTAGGTAGTCAGACACACACATGTACACACACATGAACATACATCCCCTCCCTGCCCCCCACTTTTCTTCTTGCGCTTTCCGTCGTTTGTTGGGCTTTCTCTCAGGCTTTTTAGGTTGCTCTTCAGGCTCGTTTCCCTACCCCAGTCAAAGGCTAAGTATTCGCTTTTTTCTACACCTATCTTTCTTTCTTGCCCTCTTAGCGCTGCTCTTTCTGTCTTTCCTTTCTTTTGTTTCTAAGGCTTTTTAGGTGACTATCTTACGTTTTACGCCAGAGAGCCGCAAAGCGGCGGAGTGTGTGTGTGTGTGTGTGTGTCCAACCCTGGACAAAGGGTCTTCCACCACCACTCTTTCCACTTTACATGGGCAGGGGGACTGTCTACCCCACAGAAGTGACAGTCCAACGAAGAGGCTTCTGTGGCGGTACTGATATCAGTTCCGGACGCGGAACTGACGTACCTGCTTTCAACACACTGACTCCACTGGTCCACCCTGCCGCTGTTCGTTGGTTCCATGGTTCTTCTTCACGATGCTCTCCCACAAACAGGTTTCTTTCAGCTTTGCAGCCGCGTCTTTCGAGTGCGATTGGAAACCATGTTCAACCATACTGTTTCAGCTGACTTTTCCACCTTGCGGTTCTTCGCCATCCTTCCCATCGGAGAAATTGAGCTAACTGAATACAAATTGTCGAAGTGTGTCACACTCTGTACCTAAGAATTTTCCTTGTTTGATTCCATCAGGGGCGCCGATCACGGCGATCTGGTGTGTCAACCCCTGTGCCTAAGGGTTTGGATTCACCTCATGCAGGGGCGTGTGACACTCTCCCGCAACGAAGCTGTGGAGAAGAGTGGGAAGGGAAACTTGGCCAGTTTCCTGTACCTGCGACGCAACTGTTGATCAAGCCGTTCCACTTTCTGCTTTTTGTTTCATGGTGTTTCATGGTTCTCCCCCTAAACCATTTCCTCCCCAGCAGAGGTGCAGCCGCGCTGATCGTTGAGCCGTCTTGCATTAACCTTGTTCAACAATACAATTTGAGCCGACTCTCTCACCTTTCCGTTCCATCGCCACTTTCCTGGAAATTGAGTTAACTGAAAACCAATGTCAGAGTGTCTCCATAAGCATGTCATATAATTTAATTTGTTTTTCAAAGGCGTAGGGAACTTGCCCCCGACACAGACACACTCAGGATGAAAGTACGTACGATATGAATGCCACGTGCCACACGCCGACCTAGGTAGAAAAACCTAAGAATCCAGGTGTACAACAAGCAAGGGGGTCTGACCCTGAAGTGTCAAGTTCCAATTCTCAGATTCAAAGAAGTTCAATTCGATCGAGGAACGGCGAAAAGTACATAACTGCAGAATGCAAACAGAAGCAAAGGATGAAAATTTGCTCTAGATACAAACAGGGCCCAAAAGGTAGTGTCAAGTCATCACTGCAGGTACGCCAGACTGATCAGGTCTGGTTTCACCACCAATTGTAAGCGTCTTCGTTGGCAGGAGTCTTGCAATGGTGCTCCTGCCCCCTATTTGAAAAAGCCAGAAGGCTCTTTGTGACTCTGAGGGTTACACACACACAACCCCTCGCCAAACATGCTGGAACTGTTCATGGCTGGCTTTGACATGTCTGCCACAGGCGCCTGAAGGCGTTATGGACAAAACAAGGTCTCCCAGCATTCAGCCCGTGCTCCAGGCAGTTGTGAAAGATGTATGCCTTGCCGGTGACAATGCAAGATCCTCAAGGGAAGATGTGCGAGCCGATGTCCATAGAACAACTGCCTAATCTGGCACTGGAAGAAAGAGTCCTCCATACACTTCTCCGTGAAGAAGCTTGAATGCTTTGCGGCTTTGCCATAGTTTAAGAAAAACACTAAGGTCTTCTTCACCGGTGATGGCCAATCCCTTTTTGCCGTCAAGGCTGACAGGGCTTCGGGCTGCCTTTGAGCATCACGTGGCAGCGTTGCGGCCCTTCTATAGACGTTTGGACACGTAACTACTTGTTCTGTGCGGACAACTGGGATAGACCAACACGAACCCCCTGTGTCTTACAAACGGTTTGTATCTGCCCGATGTTGTACAATGTGCCCGGCAGAACTGCCGGTGAATTGCCATGGGGAAGATGTGTCTTTGCAACCTCTTTGCCTCTGTTTCACACCAGGCCGATGGCTCCAGTGATGTCACGGAAGTGGCCAAGTTGGAACAACCCAAGGGCTGCACCTTTGATCAGGAGGGGGTGTCTACGGCAAAGCAAGTGCCGCAGTTGAGGTCGAAGATTCCATGAAAGGGCTGAAGGACCTGAAGGAACACTATGGAGAGGTGTAGCTACTGTTCTTGTGACAAACATTGGACAACAGTCCCAAAACCGCAACAGCATGGGGTGGTTACCAACGCTGAATCTCCTTCAAGCACAAGGATCAATCTCAAGCGGATTGCAGCTACCTGGCTTCGTGCGTTTACATTAGAGTTCTCATGAAGGACATTTGGAAGAAAAGATCCCAGCCACTTTTGCCCGAGAAAAAAGGAAGAGTCAATCAAGTTTTCTTGTTAGATTTGGTTCTAATTACAAGAGGCCTTGGAAAAAGAAAAGCGCTAAGCACACCAAGAGAACTGCCTGAGGAGACCACGCTTTTTGTGGCGGACCAGGGCAGCAACGGCATTTACTCCTTGCCGGCGAACATGAACCAGCTCCGGAGGGCCACGCGACAGCAAGACGCTGCAAACAAATTGCACACACCAGCTAAATTTCTGTGGAACTGTTTGTAATTAAATTAATGACTCAAGACCCATGAAGGCATCTACTTTTGCATACTCTGCATGTTGTCATGTCCTTGTCGCTCTCTTTCTTGAATTCATGGCCACGTGAACACATGCAAGTATAATCCAACAGACCCAAGTGACCGCCCGCGCGTTTCGACTTGATGGGCAACGCCTAACTCCAGTTTCCATCCAAGGCAAGCCATGTGGACAAGGCGGGCCCTGGCGGGCCCTTGTCATGTGGGTCCAAGATGACTTTGTCCTTCAAGACTCAGCAGAACACAAAGTTTCGATGGTCAATGGTCATGGATAGTGACCATTTGGATCCAATTGGTTTGATGGGCGGCCACGCATGTTTCGAACTTGTAGGTAGAGGCAGAGTGAGTTGTTCCCTGAGTCCCACCCCCTCAGGTGGCTTCAGTGAGAGGCCCGCATCAGATTGCCATGTTCTTCGGTGCCGGGCTGAGATGGATCGAAGGGGCCTAAAGATTCTTTAGATATCTTTAGATGGATGAAAATGGATGAAAGTGGCCCGTTGTTTGTAAGAGGAAATCAGCTTCAAGCGTCAACATCACATGTACATACATCATCGTACCACGAATGTCAACATCGACCGACATCATCAAGTCGCCAAACCGCGAAGAAGTCTCTGAGCACAGTTCCATGGCCGGTGCCTTGGATATGGATGCATCGCATGAAATTGAACATGGCGACTTGCGTGAAAAGACCCGGTGGCTCCCAAATGTCTTCTCAACACCCCGCGAAAGCTTGGGTTTCAATTGGCCCAGGTCCGTCTTCCAACAAGTTTCTGCAGCAGCTTGCTGGTTAGCTGGGAGACGTGGCTGACAGACCACACGTGCATTTGTGCATCCAAAATGTTGCCTATTGCCTGGTTCCATTTGGTTCCTGTTCAGTTAAGATCATCCGGTTAAATGAGGTGAGTCGAAGCATGTCGAAGCCGATGGCATAGGATCCAAAAATGGAGGTAGAGGGCCTCATGCGGTGCGTTTAAAATAGGTGGATTGCATTTGGGGATTTTGACAGCAGTCTAGCGGTTTTTGCAATTGTGCCTTCCATGCATCTGGCTTGCTTCAATTTCTGGGCGGTCCGTCGGGCATCACCGGGATCTTACTGATACCGGGCAACCAGCATGTCCGCCAGAGATGAGGCAACGAACTAGAATAGGAACTGAGTGACAGAAAGAAAATACAGTAAGCAGTAGGTTGTGGTGAGTTGTGGTGAATTGAGATGCTTGGAGAGGAATTCCGGTGATTTTGTCAATCCATGTCACGATTGTTTTACCTATACAGAGATGGTGCCTTCATTTTTGGCTCATTGCAGAACAAGTCGGCAAATGGCAATTTTTAGATGAAGAGGAGTCGAGTCAGAGTCTCCACTTGGAAACTCTGACAAGTTAGTTTTCTCAAACTGCCCAATACATACAGTAGAACCATTGCAAAACATCAGCACACATCAAAACATTATCATTTAGCTCTTTGCTTGCTGCCCATGGCCGAATGGAAGAACCACATTTGCCAGTTGAATGTCTAGATTCCAACCACCAGAACCGACGTTTGCAAAGACCACCGGCTTTGAACCTGTATAGATTCCGCGATCTTCACGCCGAACCTCGTCCACCGAGTGAAAGCCTCAGAAATTCATTTGGTTCGTCATGTTGTAGTCAATTGCTTGCCCTATCTCAAGAGCAGAGAAAAAAAGCCAAGCCCATATGTTCGATCTAAGCTGGAGTGTTGGATATGAGTAGATGCTAGTAGGTAGTTGCTCGAACAAAAGCGAGCTTCTTTCGAACAATTGATCAGCCTATTGGTGTTGGATAATATAACTAGCCTGGGACTCTTTGCTCAGAGGCCTTCATTTCAGCTTGTTGAGGTCTCACACAGGACTTGGTGGAATGAATGATGCAGGATCCCCAGGAATCAAAGAGCAACCGATGACGTAGCCAGCATGTTCATAGGGTATGCCGTTTGATTACTCGTGTACCCAGGGATCGTATTGAGAAATCTTGTAAACAAGCAGGCCCCCCCAATGGCTGGAAGCCATGGAAAGGGTTCAGCACTGATTTGGCCCGACAAATGCAATTACTAGAGTTAGTGGCGAAACGACGTTTCAGTGATTTGGGTATTTGTGTCCCAGGCACAGGATTTGAGCAGGAAAGGGTGGTTGTACAAAAATATGCTCTCGAAAGCCCAAGAAGTTGACCCTTTATACCGCCAGGCTACATGTGAGAGCACTCATCACAACTCTTCCCAGCACCTTAGCTGAAGATTTGCTGGACATGTCAAGCAACAGGACTGGGAAGAAGTGGGACTTTCACCTTTCCAGGTGGTAGCGGGTGGTAGTGGTAGTTCCACTGCTTGGAGATTGAGATGGATTGAGTTCATTCAGTCCAATTTTGAAGTTGGCCTCCTGGAGCTGGTTTGGCTCATCATTGTAGAAAAGAGTTGTGCTGCAAGAATTTGTGTTTCTTCATATCCTATCTTGCTGGTATAAATACTTACCATTGCTCATGTTCATTGATTGATTCAATATGATTAATGTTTTCTCAAAGGCCTCAAACACCGATCAATTCTAATGAGTGTTAGGCAAGTCTACTGGCCATGAGGACCACCCAACCTGTCAGTTGCTGACATCAAGTCCCCCGTGCCATTACGCAGGTGCAGCACCCACCTGCGAGATGGAGACTTAGCAGATGGCGCGTGGATCGGGTGAAGTGGAGGACTTGTTGGGATGACAATCATGGCGTTTATGCATTATGAACATCAAGAGCATCACCAAGCACGTCCAACAACTTCACAGGGGTGTATCGCTACATCCAACAATTCTTGGCTGCTGGGCACCGAAGATGTTTGTTCGCAACAGTCAAGCTTTTGAAATACAAGGTAAAAGGATGCGAATTAGTTAAGTGTCCCTAAAAATCTAGGAACCAAATGAATAAGCGTGAGCTATCCCTTTAAAAAGAATTAAAAAAACAACGCGATAGCTTCCGCCTCTTAACTTGGCTCTGCCAGGCAGCCTGTCATACTTTCCCAGTGACGAGGCTGGAGGCGCCGACCTCGGTGACCTCGGTGACCTTCACATCCGTTCGGCTCGAATTCAGAGGCTGCAGCCTCGCATCCGTTGATTCACCCTTCCAAACGAAGATGTTTTTTCGATGATGTGTAGAGTATGATGTGTATGTTCTCAACAGTCCAATACGAAGAACGTGGTGCTTCATGGAAGGCCCGTGCACGCTATCAAGAATTCAAAATTGCCACTGTTGAAAGGCCAAGTAGTTTGACAGACAGGGAGGACGGCACCGCATGTTGGATTTTGTAGGCCATGGGCAGGGCGCTGAAATTAATGCACTTTGTTTCTTCTGGACGACGCACGAAGGTAAGGCGGGGCCATAGCTTTCCATAAGTTGTAACGATTGCCCCTGGATGCCTTTTGATAGAAGGATCACATCCTTGGACAAACACCGGAATCAACCGATGCCCTGCAACATCCAGCCTGATCATGTTTGCAAAGGAAGCCTCTCAGATGGATGCAAAGCGAGGCGATGGGATGGGTGCAGCTTCAGCTTCCAGTAGCTCAATCTGGTTTGCAGCTTGGGTAGCGGTATGGACTGGAAGCGCATAGTGGCGAAGTGTGCCAGTAAGCGACCTGTCAGAGATATGTCCTCAGCCAAGACAGCCGGATTGTTGCACAAAGGCTGGCCAGCTGACAGCAACTGAAGAAGGATATGTTGTGAGTGACGCTATGGTCATTCTACAGGTATGGTCATTCTAAGCACCAGCATATGCTTGGATTTCAGGATGTGAATTCAGCGCCTGACCTTTCGATGGCTCCTGCACAACTGAGGGCACAAACAACTCACCTGTCAAATAAACTGAACAAACTATCACTGTTTCAATGTGAAAGAATGCAGTGCTTCGCGAGTCTTCAAAATTCGGATGTTTTACTGTCTTTTTACAGCGCCAAAATCTTGTTGTTTGACTTCAAGCAGATGTTGAGAATATGGATGTACTGAAAATTAACCCTATCAGATCCTGAAAGCTCCGGAGAAGAGATGTTTAAGTGAAACCGTTACTGTAAACCTTGTCATGAATTCAATTCGTGTCGCTATCATTTCAGTAAAGCGAACAAAACTAGCAAGTCGTTCCAGGATTCGAAAAATCTTGGTGGGCCGGTGGTCGGTAGGCAGCCAATAGGGCCGATGATCCTTCTGCAGCTCAAGCGCTTGGCTGGGGGGCCATCACGTTTGTTGTGCAGGTCAGGTTGGTTTACAAGAAAAGATTGCTTTATCATGTTGTATCACATGTGTTCAGTCCCTTGCCTTTGACGTGTCAGGACCAACCCATTGCACAGGTTTGAGTCACTGAATGTACAGAGTAGGATTAAGGATTGCGGACATGCCGTTTGCACCCTCTAAGGCGTCTGAATGGTTTGAGGAAGTCAAGATTGAGTTCATGCAATGCTTGCGTGTTCAAGCACAGGAATTATACCGTGCTCCTCACCAAAGATTGTCGTGGATGATGCCCGATGGCCTCTCCTTGCTATTACTATCATTATTACATCGGCCATATAATGTAGTAAATATGTCTATATATATATAGTATACAAATGAACTATGTTGGATTCACTGTAAGAAGCCTCACGAGATATTTGGTTGCTCCTGAGTCCTGAGGCACCAAAGGAGGGGCGCTTCCAAGTGGATTGTAGACGCAGAGTAGGGCACTTAGCAAGCTACATTGGATGAGGAAAGTTTGAGAGATCTTAGGTAATTATCCATGTTGCTGTGTTGTTTCCCCATGCATTCCTGTCCTGGCCGCCCCTTGCCAATTGCCCCAATGTACAGGACGTATGCTGCATATGGGCATTTGTGCATGCAAACATACTGCTAAACTGCACCCGAAGAAGCGCAACATGGGATAGCACCTTCAATATTGTATGATATTGTTGACGATGACCTGAATCATTCATTTTCTGTTGGGTTGATGTGTTCAGCAACGTGAGTGTGTGCTAATGTGCTATGGCTATGGCTATGCCTATGCTGTGCTGGTATGATTTTGTATGTGTTTCTGCTTTTCCTGACAGGTTCCACAGTCAGACCGCCACTATGCGCGCTTCTCAGGGAGGTGAACGCAGGGATCTGGAGGATCCCAAGTCTCAAAGACAAGAGAAAGACCCCTGGGCCGTGCACCCTCCTGAGGTTCACAACAAATCCTATCAAACCACAAGTTTGTGGAAAGAGTATGAAAGAGTAGCTAACACGCCACGTTCACTTTGTCGAAGAACATAGTACTGTACCTGTTGTGGGAGCTGCTGCCTGCTGCTCCGCATATTTCTCACTTATATACTGCAATTAAAGTATTTGTTGAAGTTTATGCAGGTCGGCCCATTGACGTGTTGTCAATACACTTTCAATCCCTGCCAACTGGCCAACTGGTCCATGAGGGTCATACACCTGAGAAAGGGTAATGAATCTATGGTATGTCTTCAAACAGGATGCGTTCGATGGGAAGTGTTGTCACCAAAAAGGATGGCTGCTGAAAGGGGCTGTCAGCGGCGGTCATCCTTGATAAACATGCGGCACTTGCAACCATTGGTGCATATTGGTGCAGTTCGGGGCCGCCCTTATTTTTTGATGTCCATGAATTTGAGCAGACCCTAACCTTGTTTGGCGAGTTGTTTGGAGACCAGAGAACCTCACAGGCCGCGGTTGACCATGTGAAAGCGCTGCGTTTGAGGAACTCCTTGTTGAGCCGCATGTGGTGCATTGGGCAGATCCCGGAGGCCCCTGACACGGATGGACAAGATGCTTCGCCA